ACTTGACTTCGAGGAGCAACTCATAGAACGCAGTGTGGTAGCCTTTTTTGAGGTTTTTGAAGACTTTGGTGATTTTTGAAGCTTTTCCAAAACTTTCCCGACACTGTGCTTCGCAAGACGGAAAAAATCGCAAGACGACAAAACTCGCGGAACGAATTAATTTCGTCTTGCGAGGCACCACTGTACCTCAGGTTGAGCACATTCGAGTTGTGCTCCGCAGCAACCCGGAAGTAACGGAGTGCGTTACTTCCGGCTTTCGCCGCTTGTGCATGCGCATGCGCTCAAAATGGCGTCACGCGCATGCGCAGAAGCGGCAAAAAGGCGACGTGCGTGTGTGCAGATGTCCCATCGCTGGTTATGTTTGCTTCTAGATGCAAACGGGGCTCCGGAACGGATCCCGTTCGCATCTAGAGGTACCACTGTAAAGATAGCAACTGAGTAGCAATCCAGAGCCTAGAAATGTGGCCAGAGTTGGTGCTAGCGGTTGTTGTAAGCTTGGCTTACACAAACAGCTTTAAACGTATTTGGATAGAAGGGGTGTCCAAGTTGGAGTGGTGCTTTATGTATTGCTGCTTTATACGGTATTATATTTACGATGCATTCATGTACCGTGTGTTTGTGAGCCACCCAGAGTACACTGTCCAAGTGCTCAGAGTGCCATCTTCGGGTTCCAGGGGGTTCAGGAGAAAGGCTGAGGTTCATCATGGTTGTCCCTGAATACCTGCTTGGCAGTTTTAAATCACTTCCGTTATAATGCTGGTTGTACTTTCTAAACCAATTCTATGTGTGGATGTCAGGGGATTGGAGGCAGAGGAAGGGGGAGAGAATGGGACTTACAGAGATCAGGCTCCGTTCATTAGCAGCTGTTCTTCCTCGGGCGAGGAAGGGTGACGAAGGGCTGTCAGGAGGCAATGATCTGAGAGGGGGGGAGCCACTTCTGGGGCCCAGCCACTCTCATAACAGAGGAAGGAAGGGGTTGGGCTCAGGAAATGGATATGCTGGGGGAACGGAAAGCCTCTTCAGCGAGGCAACTGACTTCACCATGATGGAGACGGACTTTTTGAGCTCTTGTAAATAGCTTGAAGAAACCAATAAATCTTTGTAAATATGGCTGGATTCCCGGACTCTTATCTCTACTAGCACCCACCAATCATTCCTGACAGTGGACCACTGGCAGTGTCTTTTCTGCTGGCCCTTGATCCCTTTTTTGTAGAAGAGGGTTCCTAGTTCATGCTAGCAGTCTAAATTAAAACACTTATTTTCAAGTTGACTTGCCTATCTAATTTTTCACTTTTGACAGCTGCTGTGGGATGCACTATATTCACGTTTTACAGGGACTAGGGAACACTAAAGACTTTTTGCAGAGCTAAAATGCCATGGATACCCATTTAAAACTCAGCATACTTTGTAGTATCTTGACCGACAAATATCTTAGTGATGCACGGCCCTCAGTAACCTCCGTTCTCCAGCCCACGCACCCAGTACAGCTTCAGAGCTGCAGAAGGAATTGTTAAAGAGAGAGTCTTTAAAATGATGTCCTATCTGCCATTCAGACTGCAAATACATGGCGGTCGACAAAGAGCCACCCAGAATGCAACAAGATTCAAGCACAGTGCCAAAGCAATGCCATTTCTAGCAACCCCCTTTTGGAACATCGCCCAGTTTTTAGTACTTACAATTGCTGATAAGATGTTCACCGTTGGCTTTATTAATCTCTGGAAAATAAGGCAAAAGAGGCAGTCATGTTAGCACTGTCACTTGGAGCTCTTTCCATGGATGGGAATGGACTTTCAAGACTTTGCTTGCAAAAACTGAACTTTTAGTTAATAACTGGATCATAGCAATGGCTTATCTAGTTCAGCATCTCTCTCTCTCTTTATTGATTTAAACTTGTATTTGTACATGCTCTTTTCTTATAATTTCTAACTAAACAAAAGTAAACCCAAGTAAAAAATCCAATAAACTAAATTATATGAAAACAGACTTCCTGTCATTTCCCAATGTAAGTTACATTTACGACATCAAATGTACCGTATTTTTTGTTCTATAAGACTCACTTTTTCCCTCCTAAAAAGTAAGGAGAAATGTGTGTGCGTCTTATGGAGCGAATGCAGGCTGTGCAGCTATCCCAGAAGCCAGAACAGCAAGAGGGATCACTGCTTTCGCTGCACAGCGATCCCTCTTGCTGTTCTGGCTTATGAGATTCAGAATATTTTTTTTCTTGTTTTCCTCCTCCAAAAACTTGTGGTCTTGTGGTCTGGTGTGTCTTATAGAGTGAAAAATACGGTACTTATACTTCTTACCTTATTCTTACTATAGTTTCTAGTACTTTCTTATAACATATAGTACTGTTTTTCCTTGCTTAGCATTATTTAATTTACACAAGGGTCATTCAAACGCTGCCACAGATGTTATGTCGTTATATTTTTGTAGGTATTTCTTGAACATATCCCATTTTTGCGTGAATGATTGTTTTGTATTTCCCCTTAATCTATCTGTCAGTTGAGCTAATTCTGCATAGTCTAATAACTTATTCTGCCATTCCCTTACTGTTGGTACTTTCCCCCCTTTCCAGTTTGATGCAATTAATAACCGGGGCAGCGGCTGTTGCATATAAAAACATTTCTCTTATAGTTTTTGGGATATCACTGCCTAAAATTCCAAGTAGAAATGTTTCTGGCTTCTTTGCAAATGTTAATTTAAAGGTCTTTTTCATCTAGTCCAGGATCTCAACCAAATACCTCTGGGAAACCCACAACCAGGACATAACAAAAATAGCCCTCTTCCCCCTCTTGCTCCCCAAGAACAGGTATTCATAGACATTCTGACTGTGACAGTAGAAGTAAAATAGCCATCAAGTCTAGTAGCAACTAATAGCCTCCATAAACTGATCTAATGCACCTTGTAAATTTGTCCAAGTTAGTGACCATCTTGTGGAAACAAATGCCATAGTTTATTGATGCAGCATTGTGAAGAAGCCTCTCATTTTATCTGCCCTGAGTCCCCACCGTTCTGCTTTCTGGGATGACCCTGGGCTCTGGTATAAGAATAGAGGGAGAAAAATATTCTTCCTATCCACTTTTCCCGCTGGTTGCCCAGGTGGCTTCTTGGAGGCATAGAGCCTTGCAGATCCCAGACCTGTTGCAACGTGAAACTCATTGCAAATGTTGGGGAACTTCCTCAGGCAAACAATTTGAGGTTATTTCAGCAGGAGCCAAAAGAGGTTGCAGAAGACTTGGTCTCATCTTCGGGGGCCAGAGCAGTAATAGTTTCGCACATCCCTCATCCTCGCGTATATAATGCAACATCCACAAGTAGCCTGCGCCAATCGTGGTGCAGAACTGTCACCTGCCAATCACGACTGCCTTTTCATTTGTAGAGATAAAGCTATAATCTATTATCGTATTATTCATTCCCAGTGCAGCAATTTGCATAGTGCAACTCATGCATTTTTTTAATGATGGCCGATGTTTATCATTGCACATATTTTAAATCCAAATCATTTATTAATCAAAGACTCTTATGAAAAGACTATGTTATGGATATTAATAAGTCAACCAGAGTTAATTACCAAATGAATTAGCTAATTATTTGTTACAGGATGACTGGTTGCCGTGCAACTCTTACCTTTCCTCTGTTCTTCCCAGGCACAGTCTTTTTATTTTTTTTGCTCCAGAGCTTTCCCCGCAAAAACCAGAATTGCCATTTGCTGTGCTACAGCTTTAAAGAGCAGTTTTTGTGTGGGGAAAGCTCTGGGCAGGAAAAAGCGTACTCAGACAGGTGGGCCTGTGCCTCATAAGCGTGGGGCAAAAGTTGCATGTGGATAAACCCTGAGTCTTCCTTCAAAATATGATTAAGATGTAGCCCAATAAGCACACACATGAGGACCACCTCACTAATCACCACACCACTGCTTTTCCATAGTTGGGAGTAATTACATAAGTGTTGAGCCCTGTTGGACTATTCGAAAGACAGGCAGATCTGACCCTCCTGCAGAAGCCCCATGGACAACCCACTTTTTGATTGGCGGCATTATGCAAGGATCACAGAGGTCCTATAAAGTACCTACGTAATCTAATCTATAGGACGTGGGTGGCACTTTGGATTAAACCACAGAGCCTAGGACTTGCCGATCAGAAGGTCGGCGGTTCAAATCCCCGTGACGGGGTGAGCTCCCGTTGCTGGGTCCCAGCTCCTGCCAACCTAGCAGTTCGAAAGCACGTCAAAGTGCAAGTAGATAAATAGGTACTGCTGTGGTGGGAAGGTAAATGGCGTTTCCATGCGCTGCTCTGGTTCGCCAGAAGTGGCTTAGTCATGCTGGCCACATGACTGGAAGCTGTACGCCGGCTCCCTCAGCCAATAAAGCAAGATGAGCGCCACAACCCTAGAGTCGGCCACAACTGGACCTAATGGTCAGGGGTCCCTTTACTTTTACCTTTAATCTAATCTATCAGCTCTGTCTCTCAGTCAAAAATAGATATAATATGACCAAAATGCCCCGGTATGTAACCCCCTCATCCTGTAAGGTAAAGGTAAAGGGACCCCTGACCATTAGGTCCAGTCGTGACCGACTCTGGGGTTGCAGTGCTCATCTCACTTTATTAGCTGAGGGAGCTGGTGTACAGCTTTCAGGTCATGTGGCCAGAATGACTAAGCTGCTTCTGGCGAACCGGAGCAGCACACGTAAACACTGTTTACCTTCCCACTGGAGCGGTACCTATTTATCTACTTGCACTTTGACGTGCTTTGAACTGCTAGGTTGGCAGGAGCAGGGACCGAGCAACAGGAGCTCACCCGTCGCAGGGATTCGAACTGCTGACCTTCTGATCAGCAAGTCCTAGGCTCTGTGGTTTAACCCACAGCGCCACCCGTGTCCCCCTCGTCCTGTATGATTGCGTAATTCCTGAGCACAGCCAGCTGGGACAGCTGATGAAATACAAGGCATGAGCTGGAAAACAGGGATAAACTTGGCAGCCTGGAAATTGTGGTTGGGGCAGAGCTTAGCAGATGGCTTCATAGCAAAAACCAATGGGGGCAGTTTGTCCACGAGAAGCAAGCAAGGGGAGCAGGTAATAAATTTATGAGGAAACACCATATGCTCCAGGGCCCAAAGCAGAGAAAAGGAAAACATGGTGGGAGGAATCCAGTCAAGATTTTAAAAGGTAATAATGTCTGACACTTGCCTCTGAGCTTGTAAGATGAAAGGTCAATCCTCAAGGGCCATGTTGGCAACCTCAGCCTCCTCAGCAAAAGATCGTTCACACTCATCCAGAGGGCCTCTTTCCTATCCGAGGCAATGAACCTAAAGACCAGCACCACGTCTGCAAGCACGCCATTGTTGTCTTCACTGCAAAGAAAAACAAAGCCTCAGACAGGTGATCCCACAAGCCGGGGTATCTTCTACTAGAACTTTTCTGCACAGGCGAGGCTGGCCCAGGACATCTGGCAACTGAGGTGGAAGAAAATGAAAGAGCATCTCCACCTCCTACTAATTGATATGGTACACAGTTTGCTGGGATGCAATGGAGGCTGTCACCCATTCGGACTGATAAGGCAGAAGGCAGGTGAAGTCCAGAGCCAGTAATTCAAGTTTTAGTCCCATCCTTATCCTTCCTGGGTTCCACAAAGGCAACATGTAGGGAATGAGGAGGAGGAGGCTGTATCGGCAGTGCCTACCACCTCCATCAGCCTGGTTGTATGTAAGGAGGTAGAGGCTGGCTGAGGGCAAGCTAAGCTGGCTGGGGGAGTGCCCACTTGTCCCTAATGGACTAGCCTCCACTGCCCAGATGTTCTCCCTTCTTGCATAACTCAAGAATGAACGGGGGCTGTGTAAGAAATATTGCTGAGCAATAGCTCTCAAGCACAGTGGTGTAGCATGGGTTGCCAGAGTCCGGGGCTGTGTAGAGGGTGGTGGGAGGGAAACGGATTCAACTGCCTAACACATTGGACTGCCTAACGGCATCCACGTCACCCAGCAGATCACAGCCACAGAGGTAAGAAAAGAAGAGGTGTTCCATTATCCAGAGAGGTCACTTCCTGGTTCTCAGGGAGAAGCCGTTTTCAACAGAGACCAGCAACGGAGGCACGCAGGGAGAACTGGGTGTTGAAATTTTGCCACCCCTAACAATTTTGTGCCCAGGGCAACCACCCCATGCCCCATGCCCCCTCCCACTGCACCACTGCTCAAACAAGACATTTTGGGGTACCCTCCGAAACTTGAGGGTGGGAGTCTCCGAAAAGTTCCTGGGGTCTTACTTTTGGAAGGTGCACCATCTGTTTTTAGCTCCTCTAGGAGCAAAGCCTCTTTCCCTGGTTGCCAAAATGAGCTGCATTCTGAGAGGAGCTTTGAAAAAGTTAAAAAGAGTTGGGGGAGAGAGAAGGGCAATTCAACCACTGGGGTGTAAGCCCCATCAAACAATTTTAGCTCCCTGAAAAAGCACTAGAATGGGCCCCCTTGTGACTGGGGCAGCAACCTGTTCTGAGGGGGGTGGGATTTTCAATCAGTCTACCACCCCAAAACTGTGTCCTTGCAAGCTTCCATTCATTTTAACAGGGCTTGTGCATGATGTATTCCTCAGATCATATCTGTCTCTCTCCCGTTTGCTGTCCTTAGTGACACCTTGAACCTGAGAGACAGCCACCTCATCCATCCTATTAGTCATAGATTACATGATGCAAATGTAAAATGTAAAAGACTGGCTCTGTGGAGCTCTGGCGGAACTGTTTGTGGCGTCTGCCTCTAGACTCCACCATTTCTCACCTTGGATATTGTCATTTTCGTTCCCTCAGGTGCACTGAACACACACGCAAGCAAGAAGATGGGAATTTATTCCCATTTCTTGCAAGTCATCTGTTCCCAGCACAAGCGACTCAGGCACGGTTATCTTTATAAACATCTAAAAAGTTATTGAGCTACGGAACGATTAATGGTTTTTAAATCATCCCACCTACTTTTAAAATCCGGCAGCTGGATTTATAACTAAGAAGAGGGTGGTATTTGTATTTAAATACGCTGTTGGCAAAGCCCAAGGCAAGGCCATTAAAAAAAATCAGCCATCCAATTTCACTGGAGAGCAATCAAGTTTATGAGCCCGTAACCAACATCCAGTCCGAGGTGTATGAGAGAAAAGCACAAGACCCATTTGTCCCAGTGCACAGATCATAATGAGCTCTTTGGAAGCAGTGTGGGATGAAAGGGATAAAATTAATGCTGGCGAAAGTAAGCAGGTCTGGCCCTGTAAGTTGCTACCATGGGGTACTGCGTAGGAACTACCCGTAAGCTTCTCTGATTTTTTGGGTAAATAACAGCGTAAAAGTGGAATGCAGTATCATATCCCATCATCATTTGAACAGCAGACTCAGAAACTGAGTCATAAGGTGTACATAATCAAAACGGAATGAGTAAGAAACAAAAGGGATGCGTCGATATGCTGAGGAGAACGTATACACAGTTCCCTGATGGAAGTGGAAATTGCCTCCTCCCCAGGGGCGTAGTATCAGGAGTGCGTGCAGGAGCCAGGCCCTGTGACCAGTAGGACTTTGCAGGACTGGGGCCTTCCTAAGTTTGTTCTGGAGAGGCAAGGCGCGGCCACACAGGTGAGGCCGATTGGTAACTCACAGCACCTGGTGGCAAGAGCCGGGAAGGGATATAAGGTCAGCATTTTCCCTTCGGCTCTTTGCCACAGCAACATGTTCCCTGCCTTGCTGTGTTTGACTCCTTGATCCTCGGACCCTTGACTTCGTGACTCTCATTTTTTGATCCTTAGACCTTTGACTTGATGACTCCTTGCTTCCTAACCCTCGGACCCTTGCCTTCTTGACTCCCGGCTCTCTGACCCTTGGAGTCTTGGCGTCCTGACTCCTGGCTTCCGGACTCCTGTTCCTGCTCCCACCCTGCCATCTTGCCCCCGGTCCCGACGTCACCAGCCGGGACTTCGACCGCCTGTGAACCGGACCATGACACACAGGAAGGGAGGGGTGGGGGGGTGCAGTCTGCCCCGGGTGTCATCCCTGAGGGGGTGACAAAATGGCACACCACGGGGTGTGGCACTTACCACGGGGCTTGGCCTACAGCGCGCCCAAGCCACGTGTCTCCCCTGGGAGTGACGCAGTGGGTCGGGGCACTGTGCTGCCAGAAACGGCACTGTGGGGCTTGCGTCTGCCAGGCAGACTCCGTGAGCAGCTCGCCACGCCACCCCCCCCTGGTCATCAGATCAATCTGAGAAGGGATTGGAATGGCCATGTCCACTCCTGGCATGCAAATGCAGCCCTCAAGAGTGAATTCAGACCTTGGGCTAAAAGGAGAAATGTTCTCCATTGCTACTAGAAGGTAAGGCCAATTCAGTGTCTAAAGTCATCTTGGGCAAACTTCTGTTAGAATGATGTTGGATTGAAATTAAGTGGCTTCTAGCTGTAATGATATAAAAGAATATGAAAAAATGGTTTTTTATAAGTAAAAATTCAAGGTTATAATAATTTAAGATTAAAGATCTGGGTAGAATAAAGAGGGAAAGAAACTGCTGAGCTAATAAATAGAACTGGAATACAAAAAAGGGAGGTATGAGGAGGTCCAGGAAACAAGTAAATGAAAAATAAGTGATGAAAAGATTGACAGTTTTTAACTGTTTTTATTTGTATTTTTCTTTTTTCTTTTTCTATTTTGTAATATTGTAAAAACCCTAATAAAAAATTTATTAAAAAAAACCAACAAACTGATTTACATTTAACTTTACAGTGGTACCTCGGGTTAAGTACTTAATTCATTCTGGAGGTCCGTTCTTAACCTGAAACTGTTCTTAACCTGAAGCACCACTTTAGCTAATGGGGCCTCCTGCTGCCACTGCGCCGCCGCCGCACGATTTCTGTTCTCATCCTGAAGCAAAGTTCTTAACCGGAGGTACTATTTCTGGGTTAGTGGAGTCTGTAACCTGAAGTGTATGTAACCCGAGGTACCACTGTCTACCAAACTTCACTTTTGGCCGTAAAACATTTGCTTTACATACCGTAGATTTACGACTTGCGATTTGATCTTCCTTTTCTTCAACGGAGTACCTTCAAATGCCTCATTAATCTGTTGAAAGGAAGAAAGGAAGGAAAATGATATTAGGCAAGTCCATCCCAGAATGCCTCAGAGAAATTTCACACACATTTGAAAATCTCTGCGCCACAAAATTAATAAAAATAACTTGCAATCTCTGTAGACTCAGCTATTGTTTATCATCACCATGTGGTGTTTGTCATGCTGTACTTCGCAATTTATGAAGAACATTTAGGGTTTGCGTTTGTTTTTTTAAGGGTAGTAAACACATGGCTGGTAAATAAAATAAAACAGCTGACAGAAAAAGAATACTTCACGTTCCCGCTAAAATTATGGCCAGGCTTACAAGAATAGCCCTTGATAACTTTGCATCAGATTCTAGATTGCTGTGCCCAGGCTTTGTTGTTGTTGTTGTTGTTTAGTAGCTTAGTCGTGTCCGACTCTTGGTGACCCCATGGACCAGAGCACGCCAGGCACTCCTGTCTTCCACTGCCTCCCGCAGTTTGGTCAAACTCATGTTAGTAGCTTCCAGAACACTGTCCAACCATCTCCTCCTCTGTCGTCCCCTTCTCCTTGTGCCCTCCATCTTTCCCAACATCAGGGTCTTTTCCCGGGAGTCTTCTCTTCTCATGAGGTGGCCAAAGTATTGGAGCCTGAGCTTTAGGATCTGTCCTTCCAGTGAGCACTCAGGGCTGATTTTCTTAAGAATGGAAAGGTTTGATCTTCTTGCAGTCCATGGGACTCTCAAGAGTCTCCTCCAGCACCATAATTCAAAAGCATCAATTCTTCGGCGATCAGCACAGGCAATCCGGTTTATTCCTCATGTCACCCCAGCTTTCGTCAGTTATTTTTCTTTTTGCACAAAAAGTGGCGTTTAGAATGAGAGAGGGAGAAAGAAAGAAAACCATTTTCACTTACTATAGTCTCAATGGTGGAGCTCAGGTCTCTAAATTCTTTCGAGGTCTGTTTTTCCAAACTCGGTTGGTATGGCTCATTACTGATTCTAAAGGAAGCATTGTAAAAGAACAACTTCTGATCTGCAGCAAAGGAAGTGGAGGAAAGGAAGACATTAAACAATGTTCATCTTCTCTTTACTTCGCCCCAGTGTGGCTCTGGCTATCTACAAGATCGTGGCGCAGAGGTGAGCAGTCACTGACAGAGGCGCTCCGTGTTTTTAACTCTGAAACAGAGCGCTTTCATATCTCTCTCTGCAGAGAAGGGAGAGTAGCAAGCTGCTCCCTGCCTTTCATTTGCCCAGGAATAGGTACGGTGCCCCAGGCTGCATCCATACACCATAAATTTAAAGCATATTTATTTGTCCATAGAAATATTTGTTTACTGCTATTCATAAAACGTATCACAGCCGTTTACAGTAATAACCCATACAACCACACAGTAAAAACATAGGCAAAAAGTTAAAATCAGAAATCAGCTAACTGTTGTGGGAAGTTCATTGCCTACATAGACCTGGTGGAATAAAAAAGTTTTCATCAGGCATTTAAAGTTGGCACAGAAGGCACCTAGATTGGTGCCTCGCAAGACGAATGCCTCGCAAGATGAAAAACCCGCTAGACGAAAGGGTTTTCCGTTTTTCGATGCGCTTCGCAAGACGATTTTCCCTATGGGCTTGCTTCGCAAGACGGAAACGTCTTGCGAGTCTTGCGATTTTTCCGCCCCCCTCCTTTTTCTAAGCCGCTTAGCCGCTAATAGCCTTTTAGCCGCTAAGCCGCTAATAGCCTTTTAGCCGCTAAGCCGCTAAGCCTTTAATAGCCGCTAAGCCGCTAATAGCGCTAATCCGCTAAGCCGCTAATAGGGTTGCTTCGCAAGATGAAAAAAACGCTAGACGAAGAGACTCGTGGAACGGATTATTTTCGTCTTGCGAGGCACCACTGTACTTGAATCTCCACTGGCAGAATATTTCATAATACTGAGCTGATGACACTAAAGCATGGGGAGGCAAACTAAAGGCCAGGAGCCAGATCCGACCCAATCGCCTTCTAAATCCGGCCCGCGGACAGTCCAGGAATCAGTGTGGTTTTACATGAGTAGAATGTGTGCTTTTATTTAAAATGCATCTCTGGGTTATTTTATTTGTGGGGCATTAGTTCCAGCTGCACGTTAGTTAGGTATTATTTGTCATTGTTCTCTCTCCCCCCCAAAAAGCTCAGCAGCTTTGGGGCATCCCCCCCCCAAAAAGCAAGACAACTTTTGCAACCCCCCCCAAAAAAGCTCCAAAATTTTGGTCAGCCGCTCCTCCTGAAAAGCTCGACAACTTTGGGGAGCCCCCCCCAAAAAACCTCAACAAAAATCTCAACAACTCTGGGCACTTTGCAATAAATAAGTGGGTTTTGGTTTGCAGTTTGGGCACCCGGTCTCTAAAAGGTTCGCCACCACTGGCATATGAAGACACTGTGCTCCAAAACTCCTCATGACCACTCCCAATGGCTTCATATAGATGTAAAACAGCACTGGGGAGACGACAGCACCCTGCAGAACCTCAAAGCACATGTTCCGGGGTGCATGCCCTGGGCTAGAGGTTGTCTTGATCACAAAGCCTGGTTGAGACCATTTTGAAAACAGAGAGCAGTTCAGGCCAGATGGATTGGTAACAATTGATGCACTCACCATATACCAAAAAATAAACCAGCAGGCCGACAACAAGGGCTACGACTGCAAACACCGCTAGGACAATCAACGCAATCATCCAAGGCTCCAGGTATCTCGTTCTTGTTTCCGTCCTAGCCATTCTGAGAGAAGTGGGCAAAAATGAAAGAATTATAGGTGAAAAAACAGAGTGGGGAGATTGGCACCTCCCCATGATGAAATAACCAGAGATTAATAGCATGAGTTTTCAATCACATTTTAAATGCCCACTATGAAAGTGTGCTCTGTTTTCTTGCAAACCATTATCTTAGAATTCAGTAAGTACATTAATACATGCAATCAATTATCTGTCCATGAAAACTTAAGTGAAATGGATATCACTTTCACTTGGATCCTATGAGCTTCAAAGCCCTGTTTGGCCATTATCCCTTATGCAAGTCATGATCGCATAAGGGGGAGAGCAGGGATTATATACATCTCGTCCCCTTGCTGTCCATGGATTGGGGGACGGGAGCATGTACATGAAAGGGGGGCTGCTCTGCATTTCCTATTCAGAACCTCTGTGTTCAGGGTAGGGTCCATATGTTTGCAGAGTAGGCTCCCCTCTATAGACATGTCCTCCCCCAGCTGTCAGGATGTGAAAGGCCAGCAGCTAAGCCGTGGTATAGGACCAGCAGAGGCAGTCTGGCTCTCTCCCATACGTGACTGTGAATTGTCTGAGCAAACAGGACTCAGCTGTCTCTAGTTACCAGGAATGCCCCTTTTGTTTTCTCACTCTTTTGCCTTTGTGTGAATTTTTGGAGGTGCCTTAAAAAAAATAAATGTAACATGCACCCATTCTGAGAGGTTACTTCCATGTATTGCACCTTCTCCATCATACCCCCACCAGCAGATAGTATAACTAATACGACGTCTACTGTGAGTTCAATTGTGTTTTTTTTTCAATTTTTTTTTTATAACTTTTATTTCCAATATTCACTCTTTTAAAATCACAATAGAAAAGAAAAAGAAAAAAAGACATCGCAAAATAAACAGATGTAGACAATAAAATATCAAGACGTAAATACATTTCTCCGAAAGTATTAATTATCATAACATCATTCTGACTTCCCTCCACCGCGATTTAAGCTATATCCCATTGATACCCTTCTTGCAGTTCCTTCTTTCTACCTTTATCTTTACTTCACAGATTCTATAATTCACCTACTGTTATTTTAATATTACCTAAGTTTTTCTCCATGTATGATATAAATTTGTTCCAATCATTAATAAAGATTTTATTACTCTGATGCCTGATCTTCTGTGTCATTTTTGCTAGCTCAGAGTACTCAAATAGCTTGTTTTGCCATTCACTTATAGTTGGTATTTTAGATGATTTCCAGTTCTGTGCCAACAGCAGTCTTGCTGCTGTCGTTGCATACTGGAACATGGTTTGGTCTTCTTTTCTAATCTCCTCCAAATCTGATACTGTGAGTTCAATTGTTAAGCATTCTTACATTAAAAGAAAAAGATTCAAATCTCTACTAGGAAATGCAATGCAAATGCAAATTACCATATTTTTCGCTCTATTAAGACGCACGTCTCCCCTCCTAAAAAGGGGAAATGTGTGTGCGTCTTATGGAGCGAATGCAGGCTGCAAAGCTATCGCTGAAGCCAGGAAAGCGAGAGGGATCGGTGCACAGCGATCCCTCTCGCTCTCCTAGCTTCAGCGATAGCAGCGCGAAGCCTCTTCAGGGCAATGGGAGGAAAGCTCCCCCTGCCCTGAAGAGGCTTGGCACGGCTATCCCAGAAGCCAGAACAGCAAGAGGGATCACTGATTTCACTGCGCGGTGATCCCTCTTGCTGTTCTGACTTCACTTCGCTGGAGAGGCGCTGCGCAGAGAAGGAGAGATTTTTTTTCTTGTTCTCCTCCTCTAAAACTAGGTGCGTCTTATGGTCGGGTGCGTCTTAAAGTGTGAAAAATATGGTATGTGGGGTGGGGTTGACTTGGAATTCAAGTGAGTGAGAAGGCTAGTCCTGTGCTTGGTAGTGTGTTGATGGTTGGAGATTATTCATGAATGGACTAACAAAGGAGAAAGGAGATCAGGCAGCTGTAGGCTGTGAACCCCTCTGGTCCTTGTCTGAGCTTGGGGCTCCCTGATTGCCCTATCAGTTATCCATCTTAGTAGTACTAGTGAATTAACATCAGATCAGTCAATGCTGCTAAACCATGTGACGCCAAGAATTATGGATGAACATAGTGACCTGGCATGAGTGAGAGGTTTGTCTCACTCAGTTGTTCCCAACAAGTATTGTGGTACAGTGTTAGCCAAGGCTCTATGGGCTGAGAGAAGAGTTGTCACAGTCTACCACAAACCCATCTCCTTCACCAGATTTCTGCTCCGAAACCTCTCTGTAGCTGGTACTGAGCCCTTGAGACAGGATAGACATTCTCTTACGATGCCATTTGTTCCACTGCGAACAGTTTCTGTGTCTGAGCTGACAGAGATGGTTGGAGGGTGCTTTTGGAGGAACCTAGACTGGTTGATTTGAGGGAACTTCAACATCAATAAGGCTCCCTCTGTCAGGATTTCATGGCCTCCATTGCAACCATGGGTCTGTCTCAGATTAGATCATCTGATCTTACACATTTGGCAGGTCACATCCTTGATTTGGTGCTTTGTACTGGACAGGAGATGGGATGCGGGTGGTGCTGTGGGTTAAACCACAGAGCCTAGGACTGGCCGATCAGAAGGTTGGCGGTTCGATTCCCCGTGACGGGGAGAGCGTCCGTTGCTCGGTCCCTGCTCCTGCCAACCTAGCAATTTGAAAGCACATCAATGTGCAAGTAGATAAATAGGTACTGCTCCAGCGGGAAGGTAAACGGCGTTTCCGTGCGCTGCTCTGGTTCGCCAGAAGCGGCTTAGTCATGCTGGCCACATGACCCGGAAGCTGTACGCCGGCTCCCTCGGCCAATAAAGCGAGATGAGCACCGCAACCCCAGAGCCGGTCACAACTGGACCTAATGGTCAGGGGTCCCTTTACCTTACTGGACAGGAGGGAGGGGATCTGAGATTTTGACTCAGGAACATAGGTATGTTTCATTGGCATAGAAAATTGAGTAAAACTAGGGCTATGGACATATTACTTTACCTTCTACTCTTGAAGGGCTATCAGGGGACAGTTCTCTATGTGAAGTAGTCTTCTGTTTGAAGCACTTTCCAGTCTAAGTCTGGTTTAAAGATAAAGAGCTTGAAGACGGGAGAGCAGAAGGGGCCTTGAAATTGTGCATCATGAGTTGGCACCTGGACAACAAACAAAGCAGGTCATCTGGTCACAGTCTTCTCCACTATTATGGGATGCCTTTTTCTTCTATTTAAATGACTAAGTGTTGTTGTTTTAATTTACATCTAATTTAATTAGCACATATACAATTAATGCAAATCCATGTCCTCTTTTCACCTCCTCTTTGTAATGCATTGCCTAATTTTTAGCTGCCCTACTAATACTAGATGGGCAGAAGAGAACCCAAGCAAGGCAGTGATGAACCCAAGCAATTGCTGATGCGCCAGATGTTGCAAGAGAGTACAACACTTTGGGCTTGAAATAGAACAGGGGTCAGCAAACTTTTTCAGCAGGGCGCCCTTCCACTATCCCTCAGACCTTGTGGGGGACCGGACTATATATATTTTTTGCGGGGGGGGGGGTTTGAACAAATTCCTATGCCCCACAAATAACCCAGAGATGCATTTTAAATAAAAGCACACATTCTACTCATGTAAAAACACGCTGATTCCTGGACTTTCCGTGGGCCAGAATGAGAAGGCTATTGGGCCGGATATGGCCCCCGGGCCTTAGTTTGCCTACCTGAAATATACTTGGAGTCCTGTAGTGATTTCATGCTCTTTATTGCAGCTTGTAAAACAGTGATTGAATTGCCCCCAAACCTCAGGCTTTTATATACATTATTTACACAATGAGTCCCGTCTGATTGGCTGATTCTGCTTCCCTCCTGGAGCCTGATTGGTCTTTTCCTGCAGGCCAACCAGTTGTTGCATTCTACTATTCTACCAGCCTAATGGGCTGATTAACTTCTTCCTGGAGCCTGATTGGCCTTCTCCTGCAAGCCAATCAGTTGTTGCCTTCTAGAATCCTACTTGCCTATTGTTCTAGGATCCAAGGTTAGTACACAACACTACCCATGAAACAGAAGGTCTTCGGTTCCTGGTTTTGATCGAGCTTTAATGAGAGCAGAGAACTTCCCACTCTGATTCATCCAATGTTTTCTTCAAATTACAAAACTACCTGGAAACACTAGCTACAGTATTTGTGTTGAGTAATTTCAAGCAAATCCTTGTTATGGGCTTGCCCACATTCTCTCACAATTTACTGGGTTCAATAATGACAACAACGAAAACCCCACATCACACCCAGGTTGTGACAAAGCACAACGGGGCCTACATGCTGTCCAGCTGAACTGAAAGAAACTGACTTGCTATTTTGTGAACAAGGGTTCAGAGAATCGTGTTATTTTCGCAACTGTGAACTTTGCATTCGAATTCACCAAGCATTTTGTTGCTTATAAATTAGTCATGACTTTGTAATGGGCAACTCGTGAATTTGTGATGCAAATTCCTCATTATGCCGAAACAGCTTAAATTGACAGAGTTGTTTACCTGGATTACCGTGGGCCAAAATGGTAAATGAACTCCTCTCTTTTGACTTTCCATCAAGTGTTGGAGCCAGAGTTCTTTAGAGATATGACATGTTTTTCCAAGTAAACAAACAATTCAATTTCATATGGAAATTCATAAACTTGAGATTTGCTTTCAGGGTAGATCTGAGAGGGGTTTTTTTAAAAGGGTGGCACCTAGCAAACTGGAATGTTATTGTCAAGGACCGGTGCTCAACATCTGCAGCATAAAAATGCAGCAAATTAGCACCAGTTCCTCTTTAATTTATTATACAGTGATACCTCGGGTTAAGTACTTAATTCGTTCTGTAGGTCCGTTCTTAACCTGAAACTGTTCTTAACCTGAAGCACCACTTTAGCTAATGGGGTCTCCCGCTGCCACCATGCAATTTCTGTTCTCATCCTGAAGCAAAGTTCTTAACCTGAAGCACTATTTCTGGGTTAGCAGAGTCTGTAACCTGAGGCGTATGTAACCTGAGGTACCACTGTAGTTGTGTGGGAACACACACAACAAGGCATGATAACTGTTACATCTGTGTAACGTCACAGCACATAATGTCATCCTGCTATCATTGCATATTCCTGAACGCCATGGTGCCACTAGGAGATGCAACCAGTAATGCCATTTCTAGGATTGAGGAATGGGTACCAGGAAGGCGGGGGTTGGGGAGACAAGATGGGGACATATTGAAAACAAAACTATTGCAACCCATGCCAGCATTTCAGATATGATTTCACTACAGCACTGTATCTCCATATTTTTTCTATCAGCCATTATTGGCTAAGGACTATGGAATAGACATTTCTCAAATAGGCCACTTCTCAAATATGACTTCTCTACAGTCACGTTTTATCTCCCAAACACGTTGCCTTGACAATGAATTGCGCTTTGAATACCAGCTGATCCAGCTATTCTCCTCCATTTTTGTTCTCCACAGCTAAGGATGCAATGATCTGCTGTCCACAGGAACAATCAAAATATCCAGTGGTATCATCAATAACCCACTAAGCCTCTCTTTTGCAAAGTCATGAGCCACATTCTGAGCATAGCTCTCCTTGTGATTTAAAAACAGGTTGAAGATCTGCACACACTATTGTATATTGCCCTTTGTATTATGTGATATATGGAAGTGAGAGCTGGACTGGACCATAAAGAAGGCTGATCGCCGAAGAATTGATGCTTTTGAATTATGGTGCTGGAGGAGACTCTTGAGAGTCCCGTGGACTCCAAGAAGGTCAAACCTCTCCATTCTTAAGGAAATCAGCCCTGAGTGCTCCCTGGAAGGACAGATCCTGAAGCTGAGGCTCCAATACTTTGGCCACCTCATGAGAAGAGAAGACTCCCTGGAAAAGACCCTGATGTTGGGAAAGATGGAGGGCACAAGGAGAAAGGGACGACAGAGGATGAGATGGTTGGACAGTGTTCTCGAAGCTGCTAACATGAGTTTGACCAAACTGTGGGAGGCAGTGGAAGACAGGAGTGCCTGGCGTGCTCTGGTACATGGGGTTACGAAGAGTCAGACACGACTAAACGACTAAACAACAACAACAATTATATGCTCAGCAACATTACTTGGGACAGATCTTAGCAAGCAATGCAGGAAAGTTCACCCAGAAGACTGTAATCTACCTGCTGCACTGACAAGATATGTATATGTTCACTGCAAAGATTGGATGGCACATGTTCTATCTGCAGGAACATTATCCTCAAGGAGATAATTAAAGGATAATGCTGTGACTTGCTAGGGAGATTCAGAATTTTAAGTTTATGCTTTTAGGGAATTCAGTTTAGGTTTGCATACAATCTCAACACACACACACACACACATATCACACATACAGTGGTACCTGGGGTTAAGTACTTAATTCGTTCCGGAGGTCCGTTCTTAACCTGAAACTGTTTTTAACCTGAAGCACCACTTTAGCTAATGGGGCCTCCTGCTGCCGCTGTGCCGCCGGAACACGATTTCTGTTCTCATCCTGAAGCAAAGTTCTTAACCTGAGGTACTATTTCTGGGTTATGGGAGTCTGTAACCTGAAGCATATGTAACCTGAAGCGTATGTAACCCGAGGTTCCATTGTACTTGTTGGTATGGCCAGTGGCTGACACAAATAAAGTTTCATTCATTCACACACACACACCCACACCCACCCACACACTTTCATTAATTTGATACAAATATGTAGTTCCCTTTGTCTGTTGAAGGTTTGTTTGTTTTATGGTGGTCTGATGAGTAGGTACAAAAAAAAACCCAGTGTGAAAGCATGGCAAATGAAGGGGTGCAGAAAATGGCACCAGTTGTTGAGGACAAGCCAACAGAGAAAGGCCATCAGCTTTGTGCCCAGCATATTATCAGCTACATCTGTCTGCCTATTATTGGTGAGAGAATAATGGACTGGATTGACCTTTAGTCTGAATAAGTAAGGCAGTTGTACTGCCTCTGCCATTCAACTGGTGGTAATCCACCGGGAAGTTGTCCTGAGTCAGCTCCTTTGAGATGAATGGGAGCTGCATAACAGCATCTACTTGTTTCAAAGGAGAACTTAGTGACGGCCTCTGTCTAGTCTTAGCAACATTTCACATTTGCCCATGAGAACATTTGTGCCCCCATTTCTAAAAACACTGAATTTTAAGGAAAGGAGGAGATATTCTGACGAGGAAGACCAGCAACCGCGAGACTCAAAATACAACCACATGTTATGCAAGTGGAATTTATGTCAGTAATTTGCACTTCCACCCTACCCACCCCCAACTTATTGCACTTTTCCCCAATCACAAACCCCATTCAGTTATTTGTTGCTGGTGGCAGAAGTCAATGCCATAGTCTGGGGTGGATCTCCTCTGAATGTAATCAATTGATGCCCAACTATGATATGACCACAGGACATTGTCCAACTTGGCAGAGTTGCACAATATGAAGGAGAACAGCAGGGCTCCTGTTCCTCTGTCAGTGGTGTGGAATACAGTGGTACCTCAGGTTACAAACGCTTCGGGTGACAAACACTTCAGGTTACAGACTCCCCTAACCCGGAAGTAGTACCTCGGGGTAAGAACTTTACCTCAGGATGAGAACAGAAATCGTGCGGCGGCAGCGCGAGGCCCCATTAGCTAAAGTGGTCTTCAGGTTAAGAACAGTTTCAGGTTAAGGACGGACCTCCGGAATGAATTAAGTATGTAACCAGAGGTACCACTAGGGGGTTTTAGTAGGTGCTGCTTTCTTCCTCCTCTTGTACTCAACTGTTAGAAGAAAAGGCCCCTTGCTGTCTCCCAGAGGACTCATACACTGGGACTCTGCCAACTAAGGGAACCTGTACGGTTCCAGAAGGGCTATGCAAACTCCAGGTCCCATGGTCCAGTTTCCTCATATAACCACTTCACATTTAGAATCATAGCATCTTAGAGTTGGAAGGGATCCATAGCTGTCAACTTTTCTGTTTTCTTGCGAGGAATCCTATTCGGAATAAGGGAATTTCCCTTAAAAAAAGGGAACAGTTGACAGCTATGAAGGGATCTTGAGAGGGTTGGCTAGTTCAACACCCTGCAAGGCAGGAATCTCAGCTAAAGCACCCATGGCAGATGGCCGTCCCACCTCTGCTTGTAAACCTCCAAGGAAAGCGTGTCCACCACCTCTCGTGGGCGTCTGTTCCACTGCCAAACAGCTCTAACCGTCTGAAAGTTTTTCTGAATGTTTAGTCAGAATCTCCTTTCTTGCAACTTGAAGCCATTGGTTTGAGTCCTACCCTCCAGAGCAGGAGAAAACAAGCATGGTCCCTCCTCCATGTGACAGCCCTTAAGATATTTGAAGATGGCTATCATATCGCCTCTCATTTTCCTCTCTTCTGGACTAAACATACCCAGATCCTTCAAGCACTCCTCATAAGTCTTAGTTTCCAGACCCTTGTTCATCTTGGTTGCCCTCCTCTGCACACTTTCCAGCTTGTAAAATAAATAAATAAATAGTTTTTTTAAAAAAAAAACCCTGGGTAAAAACCACCTACCAGATCGCATTGACCACTGCAGCTTCCCAGCCCTCAGTAAGAAGTTGCCTCTAGACCTGACATCACCTCCAGGTTGCTGGTGATATCTGATGCAAAGGACGTGACCCAATATGCTGAGTTATCACTCTGTGTCTTGCTCCTCCTCCCTTCATCCAAGACAAGACAGCCTGCAGCTCAAGATCTCTGTCTGCCGTGACCAGACCGGTTCAGGGAGGTGCCAGATCTGGAGGGACATGATGGGGAAGAAGCGTTTGAGGGATCAAGCATCAAAACATGGCAACTATTCCAACAAGACAAACCCCACCCCTCCATTTGTAAACAACAATACAGTGGTACCTTGGTTTACTACCATAATCCGTTCCGGAGGTCTGTTTGTAAACCAAAACAGGTTATATAATAATAATTTATTATTTGTACCCCGCCCATCTGGCTGGGTTTCCCCAGCCACTCTGGGCGGCTTCCAACAAAGACAAAAAATACACTAAAATCTCACACATTAAAAACTTCCCTGAACAGGGCTGCCTTCAGATGTCTTCTAAATGTCAGGTAAGTGTTTATCTCTTTGACATCTGGTGGGAGGGCGTTCCACAGGGCGGGTGCCACTACTGAGAAGGCCCTCTGCCTGGTTCCCTGTAGCTTTGCTTCTCACAATGAGGGAACAGCCAGAAGGCCCTCGGCACTGGACCTCAGCGTCTGGGCAGAACAATGGGGGTGGAGACGCTGCTTCTGGTATACTGGACCGAGGCCGTTTAGGGCTTTAAAGGTCAACACCAACACTTTGAATTGTGCTCGGAAATGTACTGGGAGCCAATGTAGGTCTTTCAAGACCGGTGTTATGTGGTCTCGGTGGCCGCCCCCAGTCACCAGTCTAGCTGCCGCATTCTGGATTAGTTGTAGTTTCCGGGTCACCTTCAAAGGTAGCCTCACATAGAGCGCATTGCAGTAGTCCAAGCGGGAGATAACTAGAGCATGCACCACTCTGGTGAGACAGTCTGCAGGCTGTCAGAATTGACCTGCGCCTCTATGGACAGCTGTGAGTCCAAAATGACTCCCAGGCTGCGCACCTGGTCCTTCAGGGGCACAGTTATCCCAGCTCCTGCCAATTTAGCATTTCGAAAGCATGTCAAAGTGAAGGTAAATAAATAGGTACCGCTCCGGCAGGAAGGTAAATGGCGTTTCCGTGCACTGCTCTGGTTTTGCCAGAAGCGGCTCAGTCATGCTGGCCACATGACCCGGAAGCTGTATGCCGGCTCCCTTGGCCAGTAAAGCAAGATGGGCGCCGCAACCCCAGAGTCATTCGTGACTGGACTTAACTGTCAGGGGTCCTTTACCTTTAACTTTTAATCGAAAATAAGGTTGCAAACGCACTTCTGGGTTTGACGTGTTTGTAATCCAAAACGTATGCAAACCAAGACATATGCAAACCAAGGTACCACTGTAATCCTGAATAGTAACAACCTGATGGAAAGCATTGACCACAAAAGCCTAGAACCGCAATGCAAATGTTCAAAGCTTCTGAAACGGAAAACTGCAGGTAAGACGCAATATGTAGTCCAGTTTAGTGGCCTGGGTGGGTTACGTATCTTCTGAAGTATCAGCCAATGGGATGAATTTATTTTTAATTGACCCATTTGCATGATATTTCTAAGCAGTCCATGAATGATAATATTCAAAAAGCCAAAAGTCCCCTTCTAAAAGCAATTGAATAATGCATGATGCAGCCACAAATGCAGAAATAGTTTGAAGTGATTTCCCTGTCGACACTGGTGCAGTAAATGCAGACATTACAGCATGATAGGGCAGGAAAATGACAGGCTGTGGCGTGTTGTAACAAGATGTAGGTGGAACATTCATTCCCAGATTACAAAAAGAACCTATTTGTCTCTTCCAGTTGCCTTCTATACAGAAATTTAGCAGCGGACGTTTTTCCTATCGTGGAGATAAAGTATGAAAAAAACCTTCACTTTACTTAATTTCTGCATGTTAGGGTGCAGGGAAAGTGTTGGCAATCCTGTGTGTTTCTAAGGATTCTCCTGAGATTGCTTTCTAAACCATTTCTAAAATTGAACCCTTCTTACTTAATTGTGCAAACGTGCAAAACGATATTCACAGAAGAGAGCGACAGCTGTGTTCGGCACTGGCGCCTCAATACAGAATGAGTTCTCAAAAGGAACCTAGAGTGTAATTAGTCTGTGGAACTCATTACAACATGATATTTTAAGGCAATGATTAAGCAAGATTCAGAGAAGGAAAAGAATTGGGAGACTTGACAAATGCCCGCAGGGGAATTATGATTAATGCTACCAAGCCCTTTGGGAAGGGATTACGCTTGACAATAGAAATCAGAGTAATAGCTATGCATTAGGATTACAGATGAGGTTCCTGTTGCGGTCAGACCACATGTATGAACTCGGAAGACTTTGCAACCTGGGAGCCTAGCACAAAAAATGACTGGATTCTGTGGGGAAGCTCATCAATGGATCTCAGAAATAATCTGGAAAAATCAATATTATCTTTCTTACGGAGAAGAAGAACGAAATCTCTCTACAGCTGCTCCTCTGGAGCTGACCGGTTTTCTGGTGCAGCCATTTCTTTGGCCTTGCCTCTGTGCCTTAAACAGCAGTGACATGTTGTTGTTGTTTAGTCATTTAGTCATGTCCACCTCTTCGTGACCGCATGGACAAGAGCACGCCAGGCACTCCTGTCTTTCACTGCCTCCCGCAGTTTGGTCAAACTCATGTTAGCAGCTTCAAGAACACTGTCCAACCATCTCGTCCTCTGTCGTCCCCTTCTCCTTGTGCCCTCCATCTTTACCAACATCAGGGTCTTTTCCCGGGAGTCTTCTCTTCTCGTGAGGTGGCCAAAGTATTGGAGCCTGAGCTTTAGGATCTGTCCTTCCAGTGAGCACTCAGGGCTGATTTTCTTAAGAATGGAAAGGTTTGATCTTCTTGCAGTCCATGGGACTCTCAAGAGTCTTCTCCAGCACCTTAATTCAAAAGCATCAATTCTTTGGCGATCAGCCTTCTTAATGGTCCAGCTCTCACTTCCATACATCACTACTGGGAAAACCATAGCTTTAACTATACGGACCTTTGTTGGCAAGGTGATGTCTCTGCTTTTTGCTTTGCAGTGACATATAGGAATTTAAATGGTGGTACGAGTGCCCTGTAGCACTTTCACATGATTATGCCATTCTAGATTGACGTAAGAAGGCCCATTTAGTCGAGCATCCTGTTCCCTCAGTGGCCTTTTCCCCCTTCAGTGGCTAACCACACAATTCCAGGCTAGGGATGCCATACATTTGTGGAATTGACATTCGGGTGGAATTTCCAAAAACAACTTTTGGGGTGTCCTGGTTTTTGAAATATGGCAACCCTAAATTCTGTAATTTCTTCTTTGCCTTCCTTCTGTGCCTGAATAACTCCCTCCTTTGGATTACTGTATGCTGAGTCCAGCTTTGGCACTCCTGATTTTACTTATTTTGTTCATTCAATCTTGCAACTAGGCCACTCTTTCCCTGAGGTAATGTTGCAGTTGTCCCAGGCAGGCTAAAGGGCTTTACAGAGACCTGGACTGGGAGGGGAACATTTTATTTTATTTTATTTTATTTTATCTAAGATGGCAAAAAATAGGGAAGCCCAACCTTAACTTGCAAACTTCTTTGCTTCTTATTATGTGAACAGATTGCCTTGCACATAATAAATTGTTTCTCACAATTTGGGCCAAAGTACTAATTCAACTTATGTGACCTAAGTTAAAGCAGAAAATTATCTCCCTATTTGAGATCCCAGATTTATATGTAGTTGCACTGATATAAAGAACTTCAAACAATACATTTAAAAGGCTCTCGGGAAATTATGGCATATCTGTCTTAGCTCCAAAGTGGTTTGTTTAGAAAGGAAGGAAGGAACGCCAGACCAACCACAGAAAATGTTTAAATAGGCTAATAATATCCATAGCGAAAGATACCATTCATCTTAAATCTGGGGAAGCAATTCCGAGTTTTCCAACCACATTTTAAAAAGCTTTCCCCAGGATGTTGTCTTAGCCCCTTATTGGACTATTTCATGGTCAAATTCTTAATTCTATTATTATTCCCATGTCAGGCAAGCCCAGAACGTACAATTATTGTCCAGTCTCACTATTAATGACCACTCCCCACTTCAAATGGGGGTGTGTGCTTTTTGCATGGTCGCACGCAGCCCCCCGGCCCTACACTATCTCTGGCAAGTCAGACTGGCTTCGCCTCCCCAAGCTGAATACCTGGAGGTTCCCGCCTAACCTCAGTCAACCAATCCCAGCTGGGGAGGTGTAGCCAGGGGAGTTGACCAGGTAGGGTTAGGACCGCCCTGCACACACAATAGAGGGTGGAACTTACCTGGGAGTCCTCAGTCGGCTCCAGAGCTTCTCCCACCCGGCCCTCCCTCAGTTTATGCCTTCCTTTTGCAGGTTAACCTCTTCTTTACAGGTATGCGGGCGCTGCTACGGTCATTGATGGTTGCTGTTGAAGGACCGGAAAGGAATTTCCCTGCATTGGCAGGTTTTGCCTTCCCCGTAGCAAAACATCACAACTTTGGCAGTTTCAGGCCTTGGGCGGAAGCCTTTAGTCTATCTTCCCTAAATGGGGGGGGGGGCGTGAAGCAGTGACTCACGCCCCCCCTGCGGCGGTGAACCCAGGGTTCCCCGTTAAAGGGGTTGTTTTGAGGGGAGTCATTGGCCATATGCCGAGAGGTTGTCAGTGGTCTCCCCTGCATTGCAGCAAAATGGGGGGTGGGCTCTCTGCTTAAGCCAGTGTGGTGTAGTGGTTAAGAGCGGTAGTCTCTTAATCTGGGGAACCGGGTTCGCATCTCTGCTCCTCCATATGCAGCTGCTGGGTGACCTTGGGCCAGTCACACTTCTCTGAAGTCTCTCAGCCCCACTCGCCTCACAGAGTGTTTGTTGTGGGGGAGGAAGGGAAAGGAGAATGTTAGCCGCTTTGAGACTCCTTAGGGTAGTGATAAAGAGGGATATCAAATCCAAACTCCTCTTCTTCTTCTTCTTCTTCTTCTTCTTCTTCTTCTTCTTCTTCTTCTTCTTCTTTCTTCTTCAACATACATTTTCCAGAGCCAGCGCAATCCCCACACAGTTTGCATAACCCTGATGTACCCCAGACCCCCGGACAGGGGACTGGGAGGGATAAACGCCCAATGCCTAATCCAAGGTCTCCCTACATCTGAAAGTTTA